TAATCATGTCAACTACATGATAATCATGTCAACTACATGATAATCATGTCAACTACATGATAATCATGTCAACTACATGATATTCATGTCAAGGGAAACATACAGAATGGACACATACAGTATAGGAAACAAGGGAAACATACCGAATGGACACATACAGTATAGGAAACAAAGGAAACATACAGAATGGACACATACAGTATAGGGAACAAGGGAAACATATAGAATGGACACATACAGTTTAGGAAACAAGGGAAACATACAGAATGAACACATACAGTATATGAAACAAGGGAAACATACAGAATGGACACATACAGTATAGGAAACAAAAGTAACATACAGTCTAGGAAACAAGAGAAAAATATAAAAGAGGGAAACATGCAATCTAGGAAACAAGAGAAACATATAAAATAGGGAAACATACTGTCTAGGAAACATACACTATATTAAACATGGGACACAAACAGTCTAAACAATCATGGACACATTTCAATCTTCACTCGACTAAATCTATATTTATACCTAATTTCAATCATTGTATTTCAATATTTTATATTTAAATAAAGGGTTTGAAAATTTAGCAAATACTTTTATTATATTTGAAATTGAGCTTTTCAAAAATGTATAATTGTCAAATTTTGTGTAATTTGTCCTTTTGCTATATTTGCATTTTGCGTTTCGCATAATTATTTTCATTTTTACAAACTTGCATTTTTTTGCAGATTATTTCATTATCACAATAAGGAAATAAAGGGGGTTTTGGGGGGAGAGGAGACGTCAGTGTGGATTGAGTGTCACATCGGGCTCAACGTTTTAATTTAATTTTTCGGGGAGGGGGGAGTGTTGACGAATTTTAATCCCACATGTTCCTTTGAACTTTCATGAATTTTAATCGTCTTTCTTGCTATAGTCTGAAAATTAATATTAAAAGTTTGAAGTGACATTCTTAATCAAAATTAATTTAAAACTTGCTAAAAATACCACTGTCATATAAGAATTGTACAATTTGCCCTGTCAGTGCTGTGGGTTAGTGTTTACTTAAAGTCTGACTAACTCTTAATTATGTTTAACTTTCATTAGATTTTGTACATACACCATTCCTAAAATGGGCCTTATTGCAAACTTGCAAACTTGCTGACTACGGAATACGTTTCTCTGGAATTTTTCCCTAGGAACTACGCAAAACGTGTTTCTCCGAAATTTATCCCTACGGCTAAGGAACATGTTTCTTTGGAATTTGTGCCACACTCCTGTATGCAGAGTCCATTAGCGCCCGATCCAATCAGGCTTCAGTCATGTGTTGATGTCAATTCTGAACCAATAGAAATAGTTTGGCAGTAACATCTATCTTTCTATCACTATAGTTTCAGTAGAACGAAATATTTCCATTTACTGTTATGGCGCCGATATAAGGATTTATCTCTAATTGGATAATGAGCTAGAGAGAAAGATAGATGATACAGCCATGCAATTTCCATTGGTTCAGAATAGACAACAAATACATGACTGAACCCTGATTATATTATTTTTATTCTAAATTACAAGCATCGATTGAGTTTTTAATTTAACAAGAAATGCAAGTTTTTTTTTCATTTCTAAAAAACAATTCCATAAAGGTTTTTTTTGTATTTGTAAATTATTCATAATTGCTAACAGGTTCAAAGGCAATGCTATTACTTGTCTTGCTATTATGTATTTCAAATGATAATCATGTCAACTACATGATAATCATGTCAACTACATGATATTCATGTCAGATAATCATGTCAACTACATGATAATAATGTCAACTACATGATAATCATGTCAACTACATGATAATCATGTCAACTACATGATAATCATGTCAGTTACGTGATAATCATGTCAACTACATGATAATCATGTCAACTACATGATATTCATGTCAACTACATGATAATCATGTCGACTACATGATAATAATGTCAACAACATAATAATCATGTCAACTGCATGATAATCAAGTCAACTACATGATAATCATGTCAACTACATGATAATCATGTCAACTTATCATATCAACTACATGATAATCATATCAACTACATGATAATCATATCAACTACATGATAATCATGTCAACTACAAGTAAATTGAAACTGTTCCTACTACTAGCCCCTTAAAGTTTTATAATTCAAGGTTACTTATATTTATAACTTTCTTGAAAAGCTGAGATTACGAAAACTTTTCACAAAGTTATAATTAATTTGATAAAAAAAATAAAACTCTATTATTTCATAATTTCAATATTTAAAATTCTCTCATATTACTGAAAATAGAAAACAAGATTTTATTTACTTAATTTAGAACTTATGTATATACACCAACGCATGGACTAACCGAACTAACCAATACGATAGAAATATTTGAAATATTGCGTCTTGGTTTATAACCAGCTTTAAACTTACTAGGATATCTGTTTTTTACATAAAACGCCGACAAAAAGTATAATAAAGAAAAGTAAATAATTTATGGTGAATATGTCAAATTGTGAGAAAATGATTACAGCTTACTGTTCAAACAGTTTAATACTTAAGATACATATTTATATATATATAAAGCAGGGGTCAATATAATTCCCAAAAAAGTTGATTTTCTCGATCCCAAAATAATTTTTTGCCCCCAATTTTTAAAAAAAATGCCCCCAGTTAAAATTTTTTTTTCAAATTCCACTAGCACATTAGCCCCATTGCCCCCAATTTGAAAAAAAATGCCCCCAATTTTTAAAAAAAATGCCCCCAGTTAAAATTTTTTTTTCAAATTCCACTCACACATTTGCCCCATTGCCCCCAATTTTTAAATAAAATGCCCCCAATTTTTAAAAAAAATGCCCCCAGTTAAAATTTTTTTTTCAAATTCCACTCACACATTTGCCCCATTGCCCCCAATTTTTAAATAAAATGCCCCCAATTTTTAAAAAAAATGCCCCCAGTTAAAATTTTTTTTTCAAATTCCACTAACACATTTGCCCCCATTGCCCCCAATTTGAAAAAAATGCCCCCAATTTTTAAAAAAAATGCCCCCAATTTTTTTTTAAATTATCATATAAAAAAATTTGCCCCCATTTAAAGAATTTGCCCCCATTTCTTTCAAATTTGTCAATCCCAAATGGGATTGAAAAGGGAATTATATTGACCCCTGCACATTATCCCTACACCCTACATTCAAAATACATAGATTAATAGATAGTCTTTGATGCAGGTAGATGGTTGGATAGATAGATAGATAGATAGTCTTTGATGCAAGTAGATAGTTTGATAGATAGATAGATATTCTTTGATGCATGTAGATAGTTGGCTAGATAAATGGATAGTCTTTGATGCAAGTAGATAGTTGGATAGATAGATAGATAGTCTTTGATGCAGGTAGATAGTTTGATAGATAGATAGATAGAAGGTTAGACAGTTCTGGAAAATAATAAAATGTTATTAAAGAATAAATATTAGTGTTGAGTGGTGAGTGTATACTCATTGTATACTTAACACTAGGTTCTAATTGAAAATGTAAATATATATTCACTCAGGTTTTAGCACCTCACACAGCCCATCCCGCATCCTGGACAGGAAATTTCTAGCGGATAGGCAAGAAACACAAGAAGATAAAGGTAGGCAGGATGAATGATAATTAACAGTTTACTGACTGGCAGGAAATTAAAGGGGAGTTGGTCTAATAAAAGGA